ATTTGGGTAAAGGTATCTCACACAGGGCATTTAACTGCTTAAAGAAAAAAATCACTGCTTAGAATTGTCTTACAGGTGTAGGGGTACAACCACCTCAAGGACCAGCTGCCAGCAATCAATTTACCAAATTATTCTTCAATAATGCCCAGATTTAATCTCCTTTCATGGACCAGAAGCCTTTTTCTAATGTAATGGTTGGCAGAAGATCTTTGTCTCCTTTTTAAAAGGCAGATCACGCAGCCTTAAACACTTAGGATCTACTTATGAATTATTGGAACACTGCAACCTGAGACGTGGTGCACTTACCTGTTGATTAATGGTCTTCGGGCATCTTAAACATAAATATGGGAAGAACACCACATATAACAGGAGGGTTTTAATATAACAGTTTCTGCCCTTGACTGCTAACCCAGAGCTCCAGTGAAAGGATCTGTCCCCAGCCGTTCAGGGAGGCTGAACAGCCAGCAGAGACACAAAGGAGTCAGAACAGCCAAGTCATGAGCCTTGTGCTGTTTCCCTTTCACACCACTTCAGTGTAATGAAATCTCAGAGCCTGTGATTTGCAGACCACTGCTCCCAAGGGAGACATAAATACGGAGTAGAGCTGGACTGAAAGAGGCAAAATTTGGAAGAGGAATCAGAGGGAGAAGAGCAGAGGATGACCACGAACAGAGGAATCACAAAGGCAGCTGGGAAGAGGCAGATGCAGCAGGGGAGGGAGGGGGAGCAGGATGCCTGGTGCCTTTGCACAAGGGGAGGGAAGTATGATTTGATGGGATCCCGTCTGTAGAGGAGACAACAGGGATGCAGTGATGACTCCTGCCAAGGAAGGAAGGAAGAGACATGGATCTAATTTTCCTCATCCTGAAATTCAAACCCTGGGTCTGGATGAGGCTGCTGGCTTTGGGATAAAAGATGCTGAATACTTTGGAGATTTAGCAAGCAGGATTGAGCTGCAGTGCCGTGCTAAGGACAGGACAGAGGGAGTTTAAGAAAAGCAAGCTTGGGACAAGGCGTAACAGGGCTGTGATGGAGCCAGGTTGAGGAATAGCACAGAAGGCTGGGAAGCAGGAGGGACAGGTCTGTCCTAGCCCTTCTGCACCACAGACAGCTGTGGGAGCAATGAACTAATAGCAAACCCACAGCTCCTGCATGTTCTCCACGTACGTGGTCCAACTGCACTCTGCCTTGGTGTGAAACACAATGAGTTTGGAGCAGGAGCAACACAGATTAATCAGCACATCCTCACCAAGGCAGCTTCTGTCCACATCTGGCTGGGAAGGTCACTTAGGAACAACTTAAAGGCACAGATCTCAACACTTCATCTTATTTTTTAAATTATTTTTTTGCCTGTTTAGTGAACCAGCTCCCAAACTATGTAAAATAAAATAAAAATACATTTACAAAAAAAAAAAAAAAAAGGGAAAAAAAAAAGAGACCAAAACCAAACAAAGCCAGGACTGCTAAGATCTTAGTCACTGGCTCAGTGAAGCTTGGCTATGGACAGGGGGTGGCAAGAGTGCAAAGTCCCCTCTGTGCAGCTGCTTGAGAGAGGAAGCAGCAGCCAGAGATCAGAGAACTTCCTTCAGCAAAGGACCAGCTGATGCATTATTCCTAGTACAAAGACAACTAAAAAAGCAAAATCACCAGTATCTCACACACAGCACAGTTATGCTCCATTTCTGAACTCTCCTGGGCCACAACAGTAACTGCTCTGGATCTAACTTCTAAAAATAAGAATGGGCATATATATTTCGCTGATTTACCTACAAATTTACCCAAAACTTCATGTAAGGGATCACACCATACACCTTAAGCATTATTTCAATCCAAGACAACTACAGCAAAGACTTTTATTTTCCCCATGGAAAATTATTACTGTCCTATTAAGTCTCCAAGTTAATTTTTATTGCTCCCCAGAACCTAGGCACACAGCAAGTAAAGCAGAAGCAAAAACACTGATTATATGTCCCATGAAAATCAGGAGCTACTTCTGCTAGGTCTCACCTGCACGTCACTTTCTCAGCCAGTGCTTCATCCCAGCCTCCTCAGTAGCACCACTGCTTAAAGGTGCTGACCGAAACCTTCCCACCCTGCAGGACCATCCTCCAGAGGCCTCTCTTCCCCTGCCAACACCCGGCACAGCTCCCAGCCCGGCCCGCAGGGACACGCCGGGAGGCGAGGCAGGACTGGCGGGACGTGGCACCACCCCCAGCGCCGGGCACGGCACAAGGAGCCAGGGAGGGAGAAGAGGGGGCTGAAATGGATGCTGAGCTGAAGTGGGAAGCGCGGGAAAGGACGGGATGCCTGCCCGTTGCTGTCTCATGCCACCCCGTTGTCTTGCTTTCGCACAGTGCCCATGAACACAGCGTGCGTGCACCTGAACTGCAGCGTGGTTGGGATCTAGGTTTCCAAGACCAAGACTAGATTTACCTGTGCCTGCCTTGTCCATAACCCGCTTGGTATTTGCAAACCAGCCCTTCTTACCTGAGACTTCAAGTCCCGCAGAGCAACAGGCGCAACAGCTGCAGGCACCGAACCTCCTCGTCGCCCCAAACGCAGCACAGCACACAACCTGCAGCAGCTTCCCTTAGGGGACCTGGAAGGGACCTCATTGCAGATATGCAATGATGGCAATTTTGTCACCATCCTGGGCTATGCCAGATGCTTTTAGTCTCTGGCAGGAGAAGCAAGGGATAGAAGCAGCATTTCCACATAACATGCTGGAGCAGTCACGAGCTGCATGAGCAGCAAGGTCGCTCTGCTCATGTCTTACAGCACTGTCTGAAGTCCATACAAGCCTATCCTTTATTTTTCACCTTGGTTTCCAGTTAAATAAAGCAAAGGTGCAGAAATTCATGTTCTAAAAGATGAACAAAATTCCTAGTGGAAGGACTTCTGCCACTGCAGACCAGTTTATAGCACAGGTGCTCTCCTACGGAAATAAAACCCCTCCTGAGAATAACGTAAGGCAATATTATTTCTAAAAGTTACAAATTACAAGTTCATATTTCAACGAGTCCTTTCCCTCCCTCTTCTTGCTCTTCCTATCTCTTATCCTCTCACCCATTTTTCAACAGGCCTAATAACTTGAGAATGATACATGATTGGTTTTATTTGCCAAGTCTTTTTATACTTCAATAGTCAATCTATTGCTTCCAATAATAGAAGAGTAAGCAGCATGCTTTCTCCTGCTCCCCACAACAGAAAGCAGAGAAGGAATTAGCCATTTATTTAGATACATGCAGGCGTGCACTACGTGTGAGCTGGCTGCTTGGCAGCCAGATGCTGCAAAACTACTTAAGATCACTCCAGACTCCAGCCTGTACTTCAACATGTCTGCAAGCCTGCAGCAAGTTAAGGAGACAAGAACCATGCTCAGCAGCAGATATGATGTTTTTTCACCCTACATGTGGGACGTGGAAATGTGCCTGGGGTGACAGTACTCACTGGATAGACAATCAGTGAAACACGTGGGCTGCGTTCTGCCTTGGCTTTTCCTGAAGTCAGTGGTACTGGTCTTGTTTAAAACAAGAGTTAAGTCTGAATTTCAGCAAATACATTTTAAGAAAAGCCTAAAGAAATCTTGATTTGTTACGATGCATCCACAATGTAAGAAATGCCACAATTCTGTGTCCCTTAAAACAGAAGTTTACAACGACTGGGCAGGCTTTTGAAATTGTATGCATCTGCTTCATGGTATCTAGGTTTACTGAACTCCTAAAACTGCCTGTATATGTTATACGTTACAACACAAAACTATCTTCCCATGACCAGCTCTGTTCCACCAAGGAGTTTGGGGACTGGCACTGGGAGATAAAATAGGAGCCCTGTGCCCTTCGCACCTGCTCGATAAGCAGCTGCCTTGTGCTCCGCACAACCAGCCCAGCCTGGGCTTGCCCACCATGAGATCCCCTCTTGGTCCTGCCATGGGACACCCCGCGGGCATTCCTTACAAACCAGGGACTGTATGATAAGCAAATTACCTGGATATTGAGAAGCCAAATACTAGCTACATGAAGGATGAGATACAATACAGCAGTGGTTAAGACTTTAGGGAGCACAGTAAATGCACTGCAAGCGCTTCTCTGCATACACAGACCTGAAAATTAAGTCCATAGGATGCTGTTGGCTCAGAAAGCCAACCAGACCCCATGTTCCACTAGCCTAGCAGCACACAGAGCCCAAAAATCATGAACTAAAACAATCTGGATCCTGTTTGATTGTTCAGCTCTGATAACTCACCTTCCCTGTGTTCTCATCAAACTAATGACAAGAAAACACAGGCAGAACAATATTAAACTCAGGCTCATTTTGGCAAAGTTGCCATACCCAAGATTTTGTCACTTAGTACTACTTGCACTTCCTGTGTCACCTTGTGCCCCAAGTAAAAATGAAAGCTTGTTTTTCTCAAGACACCAATAATTTCTACTCAAATCCTGGGACAGCCTAATTTTTTACCCAAATATTATTTTCTTTTTGTGTGAAACTTGCTTAAGGCAAGCAGCTGGCCATGGCAGGTCCAATTGGCTCTTTCCTTGTATTTGGTGCATCCTCCTTGAGCTCTGACCCAAGATACTCCACAAGAGGAAAGCAGCAGGCTCAGGCTGGAAACCAAGGGGCAGTCCCTGGGGACGCTACTGGGGGTGCTGAGCCAGCTAATCCCACCCAGGACAGCTGATGTGAAGCAGTGGTTGCAAACCCTCAAAATGCTCTGGGTTAAAGCAGAAAAGATGATCATGCCCCAGAGGCACAGTAGTTGTGCCAAGTGCACAGAGTCTCTAAAGCCCACCCTGTGCTCAGAGGCTGCCCTGCTCTCGTGGGAGCTCCTGCCCTTGTCAGCTCAGCCTGGCACCCCAAACAGCATTTGTTTTATGGAGGAACAGGGTGACACACAATTATTAAATGAAAAGTACGAAATAGGGGAAACGTAGAATGTAAAAAACCCCAGTTTTATGACTGATAACATAATAATCACTCTTTGATGTGATTTTTGGGTGATGGACAACGTATCTTACCCTGACAGGAATACCTGTGTGCCTGCGAGCTTCTCTGCTTCCTCCGCCTGCATCAACTGCTCTATAAAGGTATTGCCTCTCCTCACAAACTTCTGGGACCCCAGCAGCAGAAAGTGGTGCCTCCCTGAGTCCCTAAAAGATCTTTTCCTCCTTCCTCACCCCTTCCTGCAGCCTTTGCCGTAGCCGGCAATTTCCCTGGGAGGGAACAAGGCTGCCCGCGCGCCCCGGGTGACATGGCCACGCCGATTGCCTTTTTGACGCTGATGCCAAAGTAAATCCCCCGATACCACAGCTCCTGTTCTGGAAACGGGAGGATGCAGGCGGTGGTGCCGAGGGCAGCACCGGGGAGCGGGGAGTCCGGCCATGAGCCCCCGCCTGCGCTTCCCCCCG